ATGACAATGAGGAATGGTGCCTGACAGTTTAAGGTGCTTCAGGGGAAGGAAGGAAGGAAGGAAGGAAGGAAGGGAAGGAGGGAAAGGAAAGATAGAAAGATAGAAAGATAGAAAGATAGGAAGGAAGGAAGGAAGGAAGGAAGGAAGGAAGGAAGGAAGGAAGGAAGGAAGGAAGGAAGGAAGGAAGAAAGAAAGGAAAAGAAAGAAAAGAAAGAAAGAGAACAAATGGACTCCTGCCAACCTGTAATTCTTAACCCTGTAAAGTTACCAATTAGAAATGAAGGCAAAATAGATATCTGAAAACAAAGATCTAGATAAATAATTTCCAGCAGAATTACAAATAAGAAGTACTAAAGAAAATTCTTCTGGCTGAAAGGAATTATCTGTGAAGGAAACAGAACTGCGGAAAGGAATGAAGAGGACTGGAAAGGCTAAATATGCAGCTAAATACAAAAGAGTATTGGCTATTTAAACCAGCAATACAGTAACAATGATGTGTAGGATTTAAAACCTATACAGAAGTACAATATATGACAATCTAAGTACAAAGGGCAGAAGGGAGTAAACAGAGCTATACTCTTGTTTCTTGTATTATTTGTGAAGAGCTAAAGTAAAATTTATGATAGATGCAAATAAATTAAGAATGCATATTGTAATTGCCAGGGTAATCACTAAAAATAAAATAAAAACTAAAAAATTTAGTAGAGGAGATAAAATGGAATGTTAAAATTTTTAATTAACCCAAAAGAAATCAAAAAAGGAAGAAAATATGAACAAAGAACAGACATGACCAACAGAAACTAAGTAAAAACACTTAAATCCAGTAATATCAATAATCTTAAAAATATAAATTGACTAAAAACTTTCACTGAAAGACAAAGACTGTTTTACTGGGTTAAAAATTAACACCCAACTTTATACTGTTTAAAAGAAACACACTTTCAATATAAAAAAAAATAATAAGTTGAAAATAAAAGGATGGAAAAAATATGCAGTGCACACATTGATCAAGAAAACAAAAATGCTGTTTGCTATATTAATATTAACAAAGTAAATTTTGAGGCAAAAATATTACTAGAGTAAAGGGAAACATTTCATAATGATAAAAAGGGAAATTTAACAGGAAAACATAACCATTTTTAATTTGAATGCACCTAATATAGCTTCAAAATATATAAACCAAATATTGAACGACCAAAAAGGAGCAGACAAATCCATCCTCACAGCTACAAGTTTTACCACAACTCTTAGTGTTTCGTGGTACCAGCAGACAAAAAAAAAAAAAAAAATCAGTAGAAGCTCTCAGAAAACTAGAAACAGAAGGCAAACTCTTCAATATAATAAAGAGTGTCTATAAAAAATCTACAGCTGTCAGAATACTTAATACTGAATTATTTTCCCCCCTAAGTTTGGAGAACAGTCTAGAATTTTAACTGTCACTACTTCCTATTCAATACTGTTTAAGAGATCCCATCCAGGGCAAGAAGACAAGGAAAATAAACAGAACTGTACAAAGAATGGAAATAAAGTAGAATGATATTTGCAGATGAAATGATTATATATAGAGAAAATCCAAACAAATTTAATAAGTATCATATCTAATAAATGAGTTTACCAAGATCGCCAATATAAGGTTAATATGAAAATTAACTGTATTTCTACATACCAACAACAATTAGAAAATAAAATTAGAAAAACAATGTTTACAATAATATAAAAATTCTCAAGTACCTAGAAATAAATTCAATGAAATAGTTGTAAGACCTCAATGCTGAAAGCCATAAAATTTGCCAAGATATTTAAAAGGAACTAAATAAATGAGAGATATATCATTTCATGTACTGAAATATTCAATATTGTTAGAACTACAATGATCTCAAACTGATTTACAAATTCAGTTCCAATCAAAATCTCAGGTTTTTTCTAAAATTGATATCTTGATTGTAAATATATATGGAAAAGCAATGAACCTAGCAAGGCTGGACCAATCTTGATGACAAAGTTTGAAGATTTACATTACCAGATTTCAAGACTTAGCAAAAAACTACTAAAAAGTGTTTTATTTGCAGAAGGATATACATTTGATAAATTGAACAGAATAGAGTCCAAAAATAGATATGCATATACATGAGCACTTTATTTATGACAACAGCAATAAATACAGTTCACGAGGGAAATTCTGTAGAGAAATTAGATATCTATATGAAACAACAGAAGCAGCCGTATAAACTTTGATGGAGAACAGGCAAACTATTTAAAGCTTACACTAAAAGCAAATACTACGGAAAGGAATGAAGAGGACTGGAAAGGCTAAATATGCAGCTAAATACAAAAGAGTATTGGCTATTTAAACCAGCTGGGAACCCCAGTAGTTCCCAGCTGGGGGCTTTCCGGCCCCACGAGACCCTTGGCAATGTTTTGGGTTGTCACAGTGAGGAGGAAGTGCTACCGGAACCTAGAGGCCATGATGCTGTCACACACGTTACAATGCACAGGGGAGCCCCCCACAACAAAGGATCAGCCAGCCCCAAGCGTCAGCCCTGCCAAGGGTGATTGCCCTGATCTAGAAGAGAAAACAGAATATTTTCACGCTTTGAAGTAGGCAATAAACTGTCAACAGATCATAAGAAGCTCTACTCATACAATTAATAAATGGGTATGTCTGATTGTGAAATAAAACCATTTTTTCTATCAAAGAAAAGGAAAAGGTAAGTTACACACTTGAAGAAGACACACATGACACGTTTATCCAACAAGGACTCTGGCAGGCAGACTCTAAAATGGTCCCTGTGATCCCCGACTCCCGGTATTCACACCTTTGTGTAATCCTCTCCCTGGAGTCTTGGTGGGACATGTGGCTTATTTCTAACCAATAAAATATGGCAAAGGTGATG